AGCTTGTGAATCTTAAGATGGGCAGTAGATGAACGGCTGTAGTAGCATAGTGTTGAGGGACGTCAACTTCCAAGCCCTAGAAATGGATCTAGTGTGGCTCAAGATTACCTGTCCTCCATGGGAACCACAGCCTTGTTCCTGGTTAAAACAATCTTGCTGGCTGTGGAATTCTGGGAGTTGAAGTCCACGTGCCTTAAAATTGTCAAGGTTGAGAAACACTGTTCTAGAATGTAGAGTCCACATTTTGGCATTAGGAAGAGGAAACACAAACTGCTGGCTTTATCTCTCAACAGGAGATGTTTATTGTGCTCAGCATCCTACAGCCTCTCCTACAGCCTCACAGTGGTTAAATATACCAAGGTTTCTGCAGATCAGGAAGTATCTAGGATACATGGATGGCAGGTTGCCTAGAAACTGAAGGTCTGAAAAGAGCTTCTCGTTTGATTAAGCATTGTTAATTGCAATTTCATGTATAAATAACTAAGATGTTTCAGCCTTATTCACAAAAGTCAAAATTGCATTCTACCTCTTACATCCCAATATATCAATGGAACCTCAGCATAATATTCCGTTTTATCTACTATAATTCAGAAATGTTGTCCCCTCAGTAGCTGGTTTTCTGAGAAGTCCCATGACAGGTGATGACATCTGGCAGAAGTTGTTCTGGGCTTGACAGATACACCTGTATACAAAAAGAACATGTTTTTACAACAAATGTAACATCTCCTGCTCTTGTTTTTTCCCCCTCCTGACCTTTTCTATGTTTTAAAACTTGAGCACTGCACTCATGTCTTTTTAATAAGGTGGAAACCTCATACCTTAAAAACAGCAGTAGCATATACTTGTGAGATAAAATCCCTAATTCATGAATATTGTGCTTTTAACATTTGCAGGATAACCTTGAAGTATTATTGAAGGGTGATTATATAATCATCAGTAATACACAAGGAAGCACAGTGTTTTGGAAATAATGCCTTATATTGAGATCAAATTTACAGATTCTTAGTTGTCTTGGTTCCAAGAAAGATATTTCAGCGAAGGGAGTTTGTTCCAAAAGACATTTTATACATAGGTCTGAGAATATTCTGAAAGGCAGTTGGATCAGAGGGGGGAAATTGGGACATTGCTATATGAAAAATGGAAAAATTCTTCTCATCGGGTATTTTATTTGAAAAGACACACGCCCATTTTAAAAGAAGTCATGAAGCTAGTATTCCAAGTATACCATTCACATTAATATCAACATCCTGCCTTATAATATATCGAGTCCAATCTGTCAGTCTAATACTGGATCTGAATGCAACGTAAATCCAAGGAGATTGAGGTCTTAAACTGACAATCGCCTACATCCATCATCCACAGATACATGGGAAGAACCATTAAGGTAGAGGATCCCTGAGTAGAACACTTGGTATCCAACTAATTATTGTTGATCAGGAAATAAGTACATTTGTTTAAATCAGTGGTTCTCAACCTGTGGGTCGGGAACCCATTTGGGGTTGAACGACCATTTCACGTGGGTCGCCAAACAACGCAGCCCGCCATTCCCCCCCCCCTTTTCCTTAGCTGTGCTACTCCCTTTTATTCTATTGGCTTTTGAAAGCCAATAGAATAGACTCTCTTGAATAGAGTCTAATTCTATTGGCGTTCAAAAGCCAATAAGAATTGTCCAGGCTGTCTCTGCCCTGCTGAGCCCACCAAAAGTCTCATTCTGCAAACGGTGCTGCACCAGTTGAGTAGTCCTCGACTTACGACCAGTTGAGTAGTCCTTGACTTACGACCGGTTGGGGGTCGTGGCATTAAAAAGGTTGAGAACCACTGGTTTAAATCATATGCAGGCAGTTACATTTATGCTGTAGATTTCTTAATTGTAAGCACCGGTGGCTATAACGTAGTAAATTCATGTGAAAGATTTTAATTGTATCCTCACAAGATGAAAGGCTTTTGAATTAGCCATTCTCTGGCACAGTTGCATGGTGAAAAGAGGCCCTCTTATCCATTTTGACAGGGAGACTAGAGAATTAACGATTTGTACATCAATTGTCCTCCAATATCTGGAGGACAAATAGGCTGTTGAATGTTTGGCCAACTTTGTGTCCCTCTCTCTCCCCCTTTAATAAAATGGCAAATGAGGTATATATACCACATTGGAAGAACTGTTACTTCTCTCCCCTCTTCACTTTTTTGGGGGGAGGGGATTGTTTTCTGTTTTACCTTGATGTTAAATGTCACAATGGGGGTGCTCCTGAAATTTAATGATGACAAATAACAGTTCTCCCTGATGCTGTTTGTTACAAGGCTGGAAAGCTCCAGGAGGCAAAGGTGAAGGAAAACATACTGAGCTTGTTCTCCGTATCCTTTTTGTCAATAAAGCAATTCAGAGAGGCAGGAGTGGGGATGATGGGGCTGATTGAGAAGCTCTGGATGTTTTTGTGCGTCTTCCTAGAAGAGAATGGGGTTAATTAAAGAAGGAAAAAGAAATGCCATGCTCTTTAAAAAATGAATATGTCAGTATCTTTGTCGCTGCACCTTACTCCTTTATTTTAAATTGTTCAGTAATAGATTAAACCGTTGGCAAAGACAGATGAGCTTATAGTTTTTTGGGGGATTTTCTTCTTGGTTTTGAAATCTTATGCCTTATTTGAGGAAAAATTTGGGGGACTGATTTCAATAGGAATTAGGGAAGAAAAGTTCTTAAATTGAAGACTTAGTAATTGAAAAGGGAGGAAAATGGATGGAAGGATGGGATAAGATAGGTTGGGTTGGGTTGGGTTGGGTTGGGTTGGGATGGGAGAGGAGAGGAGAGGATGGCTTACTGTTATATATTCTTATGATTTTGACAGGGTAGTCCTTGTCACGTTTTCTCATTTTAGCAGTTCCTAATACCCAACATGGGCTCCTAGTGAACAGAGGAACTATTTTCTGAAAAATGCTAAGAGCACAGACTCTGATTAAAAATAATAATAATGTGCAGTAAATTCAGAACAAAAACAGTAACAAACCATTGTTTCTGGAATCCATAATTCAAAAAAGTATAATTGCTACAAGTTGAGGCAATGGCTTAGATAAGCAAACTTGTAAAAAGCAGTGATTTTTGTGAACTAGTGAAGATTGCAAAAGAAGCCTTCCTAGATTTGGCCCAATGCCCGTTGTGTCATCACTGACACAACCTGTCTCCCATCATCACTAACCTGATTAAAATAATCAAGGAAAATACATCTGTCCCTGGAAAGGGTTTGCATTTAAAATGCTTTTTAAATATTTTGCTGCCAAAACTGGGTTTGAGCTTATAGCAGCCATGATCTGTTATAAGCAGCGCAATTTCAGTATTGGGCTTAGGAGATTCTCTCTTTCCCCCTCCTTCTCCATCTTCCTTAGGTCTCCTCTAAGCATCTTGAGCATTCCTTTTAATAATTTTTGGGATGTTACAGCTCAGTAAGAGCCTAATTGTCTGGGAAAACTAGTATTGTAATTGTGCCTTGAGACAGTGCTACCTGCTATGTACTCAGTACCTCTTCTCAGTTCTCGATTTATGAGAGTCGGCAGATTACATACAAATAGGTTTTAAACTCTCATAAGAATCTTTCAAAGTTATTTAGTCATAGTACCTGCCAGAGTTTTAAATGTGAGTGCTTGTTATTTTTTAACCATGGCAAATACTAGCTTAAAGTGGTATTTAAGATGTCCACCATTAAATCTGTCTTACTCCTTTGATGGATAAAAATATATGGATTGGTTGTTTTGAATAGTTTGCTGTTGGATTGTTTGGTATGTTAGTTTGAATGTTAATGTGTGCCTACAAATGCCTGGTTTTCAATTGATCCTAATCTTTGTTGCTGCTTTTTCAGTTACAGATTAACTTCATATAATGTTGCCTTCTAGAAACTGTACCTGTGGCTTACCTTCTTTCTATTCCCCCTGATTAATATACTCAAATATATATCCTTACACATATAGAAACTTAATAATTAACTTAAGAGTAACTTGTTGTTGGTTTGATAATCTGAAACTGTCTAGGTCAAGAGTGAAGGGACAAAAGGCCAACATTCCTAAGCTGATATTCTTATTTTTATCCAAAGGCCTTGGGATCTTCTAGCTACAGCCAGTCAAGAAACAACACACCCAGGAGCAGAACTATAGCAATGTTTAACTGTCTTTACAAATTAAGCAAAGCATTCCAGTCACCGGGAGGCTTCAGTCCTCCATGGGATGTGTAATATTGTCCCTGAGCATCAATATGCCTCAAAAATACAGTGCAGGAGTCAGGAATATCAATATTATTAATAGTGCAGGGTTAAACTCCTAGCCTTCATTTAAAACCATCCTCCATACTGCCTGTTCCTATTTATCCCTAGAAAGAAAGAAAAACATACTGGGTGACAATGGATGAATAATAATCAATTAGCCATTATCCTAGTGAAAATATTCCCTCTGCTTAGTGCTATAGATGAAATGGTAGAAAAAGTAGAATCACATATCACATCTAAGCATAAGTTTGTTTAATCATGGCCTCTTGACTAAACCACAGTTAGTTAAGTGTGCATTACAGTCTAAAGTTGATAGATTCCAGTATCTGGATTTCTACAACATATACAACTAAAAGCAAAGCAGTGTGTGTCTACTCTCTGTGTTTGTATGAGTTCTGAATCAATGGTTGTTGGTAAACCATAGAATGTTGCCAGAAATTCAGTACTTGTAGAGAGGAGTGGGTTTAAATAAAGGCTAGGAGTTTAACCCTGCAGTATAATAACACTGATATCTAAAGTAATAGCTATACTTTAGAGACAGATCTCAGTGGCACTTAACTTAATCTGAGGCCACTTTTAGAAATGTATGGATTTCAATTTGGATATAAAAATGAATGGGATAAGCAAGAGTTTTAAGAAAACTATTACCTGTGCAGAACTGTTTCGTGATCCAATGAATCTTGCATGGACAAATCTGCTGGTACTGATGGTCATCTGATGGGCCACTAACCCCTTTTAACTTTTCCTTTTAAGTTCCCCAGGTCCTCAAGAGTTGCACTGAATTCATTGAAAAACACGGTATCGTGGATGGAATATACCGTCTGTCTGGGATCGCATCCAATATCCAAAAACTACGGTAGGTTTGTATGCACTATTTGTGAGTTTCATTCTCTGTTGGGTGCCCCCCCCTTTTTTTCTTTAAAAAAAAAAAAGCAGACAGACTCGATTTTTCCTTCACTCCATAGCTGATTTTTGGATTTTAAGAGTCTTTTTCCTATCTGAAAAACCAAAGTACATAATCAGTTAGGATAGAAAGCAGTTGATTGTTCTGGAGCTACTATCTGCTGTTTAGAGTATTCAGCAGGATTGCAGCTGTTGTAGAAGCAGGTTTCAGAATAATAGTTGTACTTCGATAGACACAGGTTTTTTTTTTTACAGTTTGGATGATAAGTTCTGCACAAGGTTCTGGCTTCTTTGGCTTGTATATGTATGACCTGGGGGTGGCTTTTGTTGACTTTATTTCATTTCTCCCACTCATCTTTTGCTTTGTAGGCTTGACAGACGGGTAAATTTCTCAAAATAGGAACCTGTCATTTAATACTTAATGTCACTCTGACACGGGCCACCTATCTTGCAATTATTTATGTAATTGCCTCATCCACTTTACAGCTAGTAGTTTTTTCTGAGCAAACTAATTGGCTATAAGATAATTGGAACTGCTTGTCAGAAAACCATGTAGCTTTACAAAAAAACCAACATGTGTTTTAAGTTGCTTTTATATCCTACTTAAAGGTGAAGCCATGTTGTCTTCTAATTATATATATTCTTTTTTTTTTCCTCCTCCCACCCTCGTCCCCTTTCATTTTTTCTCTATCTCCAGGCATGAGTTTGACTCCGAACAAATCCCTGACTTGACAAAAGATGTCTATATTCAGGATATACACTGTGTGGGTTCACTCTGCAAGCTTTACTTTCGTGAACTCCCCAATCCTTTGCTCACTTACCAGCTCTATGAGAAATTTTCAGTAAGATTGTTTTTTTTTCTCCCCCCTCCTTACTGTATGGGTGTCTTTAATTGTGTTTCAGAGATTTCTTAACATTTTTTTCTATGGACAATTTGGAGAAACAAAATCACATGTAAAATAAGTGGCACATTCCCTGTATATCATTGCTTTATATTTCTATGAGAATCCATTCATTCTTCCGGGATATTATGGAACATGAAGTTTGGGATAGCATTTCTCTGGGGAAAAGAAGCTTTAAGTTTATTTAGAGTTGCAGCGAAATCAGTTGATTGTTTCTACTTGGGAACTAGGTTTAGTTGACAGTGCCAGTGTGGATTTAAGAGACCTCAATTCAAGTCCCAAGAGGTCCAGATAACTGAATAACCCTCACAGCTGTTTTGCCAGGGAGGAATATGGGAAAAATCTCCTATACGAGGGGTGTCCGATCTTGGCAACTTTTAAGGCTTGTGGACTTCAACGTACCAGAATTCCCCAGTCAGCAGAGTTGCCAGCGTTGCACACCCCTGCCTTATAAACCGCTGCATATTGGAACTGGTACAGAATACCAAAGTAATACATAACATCCTGTGATTTAGGACAGCCAAAAACTTAGCTAGGCATTTATTTTTGCTCTGCATTATGATTTTTATTAGTATTCCTCTGTAAGGCTTTAGGAAAAAAGAAATAAAGGTGTGTGCTGATATTTGTGTCCTCCCCCCCTTTTTTTCCCCCCAGGATGCTGTATCTGCTGCAACCGACGAAGAAAGACTGGTGAAAATCCATGATGTCATCCAGCAGTTGCCACCACCACACTACAGGTGTGTGTACACGGCTATTGCACAATTATTTGGATTGTGTTTACACAGCCTGATGATTATGTTATTTAAAAAAGAAGCCTAGGTGACTTTGTGGAAGCCCGTGTCCTATTTTCCCTGCAGACATAGCAGTGTACCTCTATTAACACTAATCTGCATCCACACCCTGTTTTACAAGCAATGTCCTTTCTGCCTTCCTCATTCCATACGTGGTAGTAAAATCATTCTTTAAAGACGTGGATGTTTTTAGTTTGTTCAGCAGGTAAGCTGACTTTGTTTTGGCTAAAGGACTAAGCAGAATCTGGCCTGGTTAGTGTTTGGATGAGAAATTGCTAAGGACATGCAGGTTTTGCATTAGGCCAGGGAGTTAAAAAAAATTGTAGTCCTCAACGTACGACCACAGTGGAGCCCAACATTTTTTTGTTGCTAAGTGAGACACTTGTTAAGTGAGTTTTGCCCCATTTTATGACATTTGCCACAGTGGTTAAGTGAATCACTGCAGTTGTTAATAACACGGTTATTATTGACTTGGCTTGTCAGAAGGTTGCAGAAACCGATCACATGACCCCCCCCGGGACGTATCAACCGTCATCAATATGAGTCAGTTGCCAAGCGTTTGAATTTTGATCATGTGACCCTGGGGTCGTAAGTGTGAAAAATGGTGCTAAGTCATTTCTTTTCAGTGTTTTGTAACTTTGAACAGTTTCTAACTGAACGATTGTTAAGTCGAGGACTCCCTGTTCATGAAGAGATGGACTTGTCTGTCCTGTAAGTTGCTGGTTTACTGAGGATCCCATCTTCCCTCTGTGAAATTAAGCAGCCGAGTGCATATCCTGAAAGATTTATGGTGACACAAGGCTGCCTTCCACTTTATTTAAGCTCGGTCACAAGACAGATAACTCATCCCTGTCCTCTCTGGTGATACTCCATGAAGTGGGCGTGGAGGCATCATGCAAAACTCAGCATGCCTCCTAGGGATATAAAACTCCAAGGGCGCGAAAGGGGAACAATTTTTTAAACAAATTATGGGCTCTTATCTTGCCCCTGGGGCGGAATTGCCAATTAAAAATTTAATAGAGTGGAAATGCAAGTCTAACTCTGTGCATCATGGCAAGAGATAGCAGATGTGCTTAAGAGTCAGCAGGGAAGTAGGACGGCTCATCTCAATGCTATATCCGCATTAAGAATAAGATGAGGATGCTGGCAGAAGTGAGTCAGACGAGCGGTTTGGAGATCTGGAAAACATTTAGAGATTTTCTTTTTGCTGGCTTGGAGAACGTTGCTGCTGCTTGCTACATACAGTATGTGGGCATCCAGCATCAGAGGAAGGGCAGGTTGTGGTTGGGAACTTGATCCTTGGATCAGATGTCTAGCTCAGCATGCCGTAGAAACGGAATCTGAAGCCCATTTTGGGATGAAAACAAATGGATCTTACGAAAGTCTAAGGTTTCTTGCTAATTTTTAGCACAGTGAAGGCCAGGTAGAATATTGAGGGCTGCTGTATCTGTTCGTGTACTTGCTCCTTTGCTTCATACAGCTTTGTAGAATTAGGAGGTCTGGCAATTGTTCTTTTCCTTGCCACATCACCTTACCCATCCCTGTTTAGAGCAAGGCTATCCAGTTCTGGGAGTTGACCCCCCCCAGGTCTTAAAGTTGTCAAGGTTGGACACCCCAGGTTTAGAGGAAGTAGCAGTTTGGAGTGCCTACATTCTTTCTTAAGCATGACCTGAATAGCTTAGCTCAGGGCTATTTGAATGTTTGAGTCATCAGCATAAGGGGCCGAAAGCTCGGTTTCCATCCTGTTTTGTACTAACTTGGATTACTGGGTTATATTGCAATACAGGTCCTCAATTTATGACCACAATGGATGTCATCCTAAACTGGGAAGCAGAATCCAGGGGAAATTAACTGTGCTTTGTTTTAAAGTATCTTAGATATTGATACTCAAAATATCATTAGTTCCTAGAATTATTTGAAAGGATCCATGTGTCCCTCCTATATGCAAAATCTACTAACAAAGGTTTAGCATATTTTTATTGGTCAGTTATGCAATCACTTGATGCCCCTTTCAACATCTGAACTGGACCTTCTGTCTCTCTTTCTTCTTCTTCTTCTTCTTCTTCTTCTTCTTCTTCTTCTTCTTCTTCTTCTTCTTCTTCTTCTTCTTCTTCTTCTTCTTCTTCTTCTTCTTCTTCTTCTTCTTCTTCTTCTTCTTCTTCTTCTTCTTCTTCTTCTTCTTCTTCTTCTTCTTCTTCTTCTTCTTCTTCTTCTCTCTCTTTCTTCTTCTTCTTCTTCTTCTTCTTCTTCTTCTTCTTCTTCTTCTTCTTCTTCTTCTTCTTCTTCTTCTTCTTCTTCTTCTTCTTCTTCTTCTTCTTCTTCTTCTTCCCTCCGTTCTTTCTTTCTCTCTCTTTTTTCCCTGCATAGGAAAAATATACACATTCCTTAAGCTAGATAATGTTCTAGAGGCTCCCTCTAATGGTCATCAAAGATGGCAGTTGCCATTTAGAAAACAGTAATGGAATCTCACAATGTCTATATAAATCTTGACTGCTGGAGACATCTTGCAGTATATTGATCCACGTGGCATATATTTGTCTTCCTTGGTTTTTGCAATGCAACAAGGAAGCAAAGAGTTGGCCATTTTTCAAAAAGCAAAATATTAGTCTATTTAGGGTATTTTTCCCAATCCCCCTTTAGCTTGGCTTTTTTTTTTTTTTTAAACGGTGGCATCATAGGCTAATTTATCTGAAATTCTTGCCTTTTTTCCAGGACTCTGGAATTCCTTATGAGGCATTTGTCACACCTGGCTGAATATTGTGCCATCACAAACATGCATACAAAGAATTTAGCCATTGTCTGGGCACCAAACTTACTAAGGTATCTATTGATTGCAGACATTGTAGGAAAAAAGCCATGTTAGTCTATGATAACCAACAATAGAGGGATTTGTTTGTTTGTTCATTCATGTCAGAAGCATCACAATTAAAATAAGGCATACTAAGTGACATGGAATTTAAAATATAAGATCAAAATATGTACGAGTTAAACAGATCTTGCCCCCAAACTAGCAACATTGTGTTCTGTTGCACTGCCATGAGGTCCTTAAGTGTACACTGATGAGGACACAAAGGGCAGGCATTTTTGTGTTGTTGTCTGCAAGTCACCACAATCACAAAGGACAGAAGCCACCGGATAGCCCTATTTGTTCAGTGTGTCTCTGAATCTTGTAGCACATGGAAATTAAATTGCATCTGTTGAAGTAAGCTGTAGCTCATGATAGCTTACACCTTTTAATAACATTTGTTAGAAAAGTTCCACCAGCACTTTTTATGTTTAAAAAGCTGTTGGAAAACAAAAGTGTTTTTATATAGTGTGAGAGTGGCTTTATAATATTTTAACTTTTTGTCAAGATTTTTTTTTTTTAAGGAAAAAGTGGAAAATATTCATTGAGAAATTGGCACCAGCTAGGTAATGATTGATTTGTAAAGAAACAGCAGGACAGGTTGGGTACTTACTTAGAGCCAGAAAGTTAAGCTTTACTTGTTGTTAACTAGAAAGACGCTTGGCTCATGTCAGATGTTACACCTGTGGCTTTATCAGGAATTAGCTTAGTGATAGACTAAGCTTTATCTCTGTTAGAAAAGACGGCCACAGGTAATACATTCTCACAGAGAAATTATGAACCCCTCTTTTGCAAGAAAGGGTGAAGGATTCTTTTCCTATTCACAGATGCAAAGTCCATATGTAAGTAACTGCTCTGTATTACACTACGGGAGAGAGAATACACAAGCTATCAATTTATGTCTCTGGAGCACAGTTTGTGTAGACTTCACACTACGACTCCTATGCAAATATTTGTTCCTTTGCAAAAGGAACTGTCAGTGGTGGCTGGAGGGAGGCTAATGTTCCCCCTCTTTTTCCTAGATCGAAACAGATAGAATCTGCTTGCTTCAGTGGAACAGCAGCTTTTATGGAAGTGCGAATCCAATCCGTGGTTGTGGAATTCATTCTCAATCATGTGGACGTCCTTTTCAGCTCTAAACTCAGCTCCGTTATTCGAGAGAGTGCAGGTATGTGTGTCTGAGTCAGAAATAAACCAAAACAAACCTTAAAAGGGTAGGCAAAGCAGTGTGTCAAAGTTTTCATTTTTCTGCTTGGCTGATCAAATAGAGAAATGCAGCTTAATAGAAAACTACCTCACATACACTGGAGGCTAATGAAGCTTAGCGAGTGTCCTACAACAGATGTCCGTCATGGAAAATGGTCACTCTGTTTAACAATTGCATACCATGCAGAGCTCTCTAACTCAGTGGACTTCAGACCTTTCAACTTTAAGACTTACGGACTTCAACTCCCAGAATTCCTCAGCCAGCCAGGATTTCTGGGAGTTGAAGTCCATAAGTCTTAAAATTGCCAAATTTGGAGATCCCCTGCCCTAACTGTAGAGCGTCCATTATAAAAGCATGTACCAAGCCTTTGTTCCACCATCACAATTGTAAAATATATTTTTCCCCCCCCCCCAAGTTGGGGGATTCCATTTTAGCTTGAGTGACACCAGTAGTCTCAGAGTTTGGCAAACATTTTCCCCTGACTGTCCCCATGGTCACCATTCTGGCAGAGTTATGTTTATAGGAAATTCAGCAAATTGTTTAGAACATCAGTGGACAATAAACTTTAGGACTTCTGTTGGTGCTAAACCATGCCTGCCTTCCGTACAGAGCAGACAAATACTGAATTTACATATTGTTCTTTTTTTAAAAAAAACCTCTATTATAAAAAAACCCTAAAGACATATAATTGGATGGGTTTCACAACCTATTAAGCCATTAACGATGGCTTAAAAGTCATACTGGTTGAATTCACACAACATACTAAGGCAGGGGTCTTCAAACTTGGTCCTTTTATGACTTGTGAACTACAACTCCCAGAATTCCTCAGCCAGGCACGCTACCTCTTGACTTGTTGATTACTATCTTCAAAATGTGAAAAAGTGCTAAATGCAGTAGAATTTCTCCTGTGAGGTTTTTTTTTTAAGAGATGGTTTCTGAACTCACTGGGCTTAGCAATATCTCTGCTAGAAGCAAGTCAGTAATGTTTAAGTGTTAAAAGCTATACACAGTCTTAAAACAGTATTTTCTTGAATTTAAATTGGGAGTAAAACTCACCGACTTCTTTTTTGGGGGAGGGGGGGAAATAGCATTTTGCAAAACATTTTATATTAATGAAGGAGCTTGTTAAGGCCATTATGTGGGAAAAGAGACTCCTTTTCAAGTCTTTATGGCGGTAAAATTATAGAAGTAAAAAAAAAGAAAACGGTGACTCAAAACTGAGTTCCAAGTCCTATTGTGTACTGAAGGGAAGGAAAAATAATTTGATGGAGTGTCCATTATGTGAAACCCAAACTTTATTTTTTTTTCCTTTCCAGACTTTCTTGGAAAAAGCATAAATGTGTTTTGAAGACTCCCTGCTTAAGTCTTGCGATAAAGCAGTGTTTCCCAAACTTGACAATTTTAAGGCATGAGGACTTCAACTCCCAGAATTCCACAGCCAGCAACGCTGGCTGTGGAATTCTGGGAGTTGAAGTCCACATGCCTTAAAATTGTCAAGTTTGGGAAACACTGCGATAAAGGACATGTTTGGCTCTATTTCAGGAAACTCTTTCTTCACAGGCTCTCGTAACTCACGCCGTTCTCTCTCTGCTTTGCCTTGTGTTTCTGTGGCAGGTCACAGTTCCTTGTCGCGACCTAAATCTTTGCTGGTGTCCTCCCCCTCCACAAAGCTGCTTACCTTAGAGGAAGCCCAAGCAAGGACACAGGCTCAGATAAATTCTCCGGCCCCTGCAGATAGCAAATACATCGAAGTAGGCGAGGGACCCGCTGCTTTGCAGGGAAAGTTCCATACCATCATAGACTTTCCATCTGAAAGGTAGAAGGATTTCTCTGTCTGTCAGTCTCTCTGTCTGTCTGGGTGTAATTGCATTGTCCTAAATCAGTGGTTCTCAACCTGTGGGTTGGAACCCCATTTGGGGTCAAACGACCATTTCACGGGGGTCGCCAAACAACGCAGTCCGCCATTTTTTCCCCCTTTTCCTTAGCTGTGCTACTCCCTTTTATTCTATTGGCTTTTGAAAGCCAATAAAATAGACTCTCTTGAATAGAGTCTAATTCTATTGGCTTTCAAAAGACAATAGGAATTGTCCAGGCTGTCTCTGCCCTGCTGAGCCCGCCAAAAGTCCCATTCTGCAAACGGTGCTGCACCAGTTGAGTAGTCCTCAACTTACAACCGGTTGAGTAGTCCTCAACTTACGCCCGGTTGGGGGTCGCGGCATTAAAAAGGTTGAGAACCACTGTCCTACACTTAGTTTTTCCATGGTTATGTTGGGACAGTTTTGAAATTGAAACATAACGTTCTTCATTCTTTCTCAGTGTACGTCTGTAAATGCTGCTGGCTTGCATAAAGGATGTGGACTTGTAACTTCTTCATGTCTAAATTGCTAATGTTCTTTTCTGGGGCCACCGTGGAGCCTCCCGTCATTTTCTCAGTGTCCCGCTTTTCTCGCTGTAGAAAGAGACCTCCCAGTAAGATGAAAAAATCTCCCGTGGGCAGCTGGCGTTCCTTCTTCAATTTGGGAAAATCATCCTCTCTTTCCAAACGGAAACTGCAGCGCAACCCAAGTGAGCCATCGGAAATGAAGGCAATAGCTCTGGCAGGTAAGGGTGCCCTGTCTCCACAACCGCAAGAGACTGTGCTGCATGGATGCTTCTGGTGTACTCCAGATGGGCTGGGTTTTTTTTTTTTAGTATTGATCATTTTAAAATAAATCACCACATGCTCTGCTTGGAATGTAATTCAGAAATGCCTAAATTCTTCCTGTTCCACAGAGGCATTTATCGATGGGGACATTGCTCTAATTTCTTAGCATGTATTGCTAAAACAGCCTTTGTAGGATCAGGAGCACTCTTGTGGAGCTGAATTCTCCTCATTGCAGCATGAAAACATACTTTGTTATTAAGAATAGAGTAGAATCTGGTAGGGACCTTGGAGGTCTTCTAGTCCAGCCCCCTGCTCAAGCAGGAGAACCTATACTATCTCAGACAAGTGTCTGTCCAGTCTCTTCTTTAAAATCTCCAGTGATGGAGTGCCCACGATTTCTGGTGGCAAGCTGTTCCACTGGTTAATTGTCCTCACTGTCAGGAAGTTTCTCCTTAATTCCAGGTTGCTTCTCTCTTTGGTCAGTTTCCAACCATTTATTTTTCTCCTGCCCTCTGGTGCTTTGGAAAATAAATTGACCCCCTCTTCTGTGTGGCAGCCCCTCAAATACTGGAACACTGCCATCATGTCTCCCCTATTTCTTGTTTTCTTTAGACTAGCCAAACCCAAGTTCCACAGGCGTTCTTCGTATGTTTGGGTCTCCAGGCCTTTGATCCTCTTAGTTATGTTCATGGTCAGTCCACTGTGCTCTTGCAAAACCTTTGACCAGTCTCTGCTTCACTTGAGTCCTATAGTAATTGTTTTAAAGACTAAAGATTCAGCTCTGCAAAGAATCTGACATCTTCTTTTAGACCAGTGCTTTCTCAACCTTGTGCAACCTGAAGATGAGTGGACCTCAACTCCCAGAATTCCCCAGCCAGCATGGCATACCCTAGCTGCCTGGGCAATTCTGGGAGTTGAAAACCACTCATCTTCAGGTTGCACAAAGTTGAGAAGCACTGTTTTAGACAAATACGTTTTCGTCTCTGGGGATTTTCATCTCATTTTATTTTTATTTTATTTATTTTATTTTTAAAATTTATAAGCCGCCCCACTCCCGAAGGACTCTATTTTAAATATATTGCATCTTTTTGTTTCTGGCTGACCAGGAGGAAGAGGAGAGAGTGGAACCCTACGCTCCACCAAAAGTGAAGAGTCTCTTTCATCTTTGCATGCTATCGATGGCAAGTTGGCTTTTGTTTATATTTTCCTAAGAGCTGCTTCTACGGGCAGCAAAATGTGAATATCACATCTACAAAGAATTAGGAGGCAAAGGTCTCAGGAGGCATGTTTGTGTCTGTATTAGGTGAAGAAACGTATGCTTTTTTTTAAGCCTTAATATGTCACTTTTTACCACCATCCCTTTTTTTGGGTGCAATTTTGGGGAGAAAAAGAGTCTTTCCCTTAAATAATATGCACAGAAACCTTGAAAGTTTCTTTCTTGTTTCCCCAGTCCTAGCAAGAAAAACTGGGTGGGGGAACGCTAACATAGATGTGGGTAGGTGCATAATATCTCTGTATTTTTCACAGAAAAGCAAAGAGCAACCGACCATTTTATATAACTGGAACATTTCCATAACTGGGCAAAGTACTCACGACTTGTCTTCTCTCTCTCTCTCTCTCTCTCTCTCTCCCTCTCTCTCTCTCTTTTTCTTTTTTTTGCCAGGTGAGTCTAAACTCTTTCGACCCCGAAGACCAAGGTCGAGCAGCGACGCTTTATCCGCTTCTTTCAACGGGGAATTGTTGGGGAACATGAATCGTTGCAATTCTTACGACAACCTGCCCCACGACCAAGAGAGCGACGGAGATGAGGGACACCTGCAGGTTCCCGCCCTCATCTCCCCCAGGTTGGCGGAGGACGTTGATCTGAGCCCTCCTGAGATCGGAGTGGCTAGTTTGGATTTCGACCCCATGTCTTTTCAGTGCAGCCCCCCCAAAGCAGAATCCGAGTGTCTTGACAGCAGCACCTCCCTGTTGGAGTCAGTGGACTATAACAAGGACAAGCCAAGCGTCTTTAAGAAAGAGCTAGACTCGGGCAGCCAATCTCATACGCCCTACAGTGCCACCAGCTCGGAGCCCGTTTCTCCTTATCAAGAAAAAAACCCGAGTCCCTTCTTCACTCTGGATCTGAGCCCAGCTGAAGACAAGCCCTCAAAGCTCCAGCCTTTCTCCGAGAAGCTCACCTGTGCCTACTCCCCCAAGTTGGCTCAAAAGCCAGTCAGATCGCCACCGCTCCCTGCCTCCGAACCCGTTCCTTATGCTCTCCCCAGCCGAATGCCCGACGTGGTTACTGGAGGGGGGGTGTCGGAAAGCGGCGGCCCTTCGGATTGGACTAAAAAAAACACTGACCACAACGAAGCTTCAAGCGTGTCCCTTTCCCAGCTCATGGGGTCACCTTTGAAAAGCAGTGCAAGCAGGCCTGGTGAAGAACCCCAGCAAGAATTCCAGAATGCGGGAGATACCAAGAAAGCAGAGTTTCAAGAAGAGGTGGAACAACTTGCTCTCGGCAGCGGCCAGAGTAAACCTGTACCTTCTGGACTGACACAGCCAGGTACAGTGTGTTTTCCTCCATTTTTTCTTTAAGTTCACAAGCCGCCAAGCTCTTGCTTCTCTGCACACCTTTAAAAAGAGAGGGAAACACTGGTAATAATGATAATAGTAGTAATAATAATGACAATAACAATAACAAAATATGTGTCTTCCAGAGCCTATAGATGCTGCTTGGGTCTTGATAGCGAACATTAAAAGAACCTTAAGCTTCTCTGCAGCCTCCTTGTATCACACAAAACAAACAAACAAACACCCCACAACCCTGTGAATATTTTATATAGCCCTGTCTCTCTTCACTTTTTTCATAACATGAGACGATGTCTTCCCATCAAAACGCTTCCTTGATAAAACTTTATATTTTTATAACTAACCATGTAAATAAATAAATTTGGCTGCACTCGAAGGAGGGACGCACGGGCCCAGAGTAACCCGTGATTAAGTTGTGCAAAAGATCCCATCAAGCGATCTGGCATTTTCTTTCTGCACTGTCTCCTGCCCTAGTCGTTAGGACTGCATCAGGAACGTTTAGACAATCTCTTGCGCTTTTTCCACACCGAAACAGCTACCCTGTTTTGCATGCATGGCAGAAGACGCACTGTTGTCGTGCCGAGGAGTGGCCACTGGTGAAATGTTGGACTATTTTTTTAAAACTTATTTTTTTTTTTTATAATGATCTATAGGAATTGCTCACTCTCCTTAGCAGGATAAAGTAAACCATTCTCTTTTGTTTTGTTTTGTTTTGTTTCCACTCTTCTTCCCACTAGGAGCCGTTGCCCTTGACACCCCCCAGGATTCTGTTCCAGTCAATTCCGTTTCTGTTGTCCCTCCTCCACCTCCCAAAAATGCTGCACGAATCCTGGCTCTTGCCCTGGCCGAATCTGCCCAACAAGCTTCAGTTCAATCCCAGAAGAAGCCAGATATTTATTCAGATTGTAGCAACTGTGGGAAAAGTGAGAGTGCAGGAACTCTAGAAAAGTTCCACCCATATCCTGGCTGTGCTGCGGAAAGGCTCCCGTTCTATGCTTCTCTGCCAGAGAACCCGCTCAATTTTCAGATGGTTGGGGATCCTCAAAGAAGCGGATTGCCTTTAGTTCAGGGCCCCGAAAGCAGTGACATGTCTGAAGGCGACGACCATCTCCATGTTGGCACATCTGAACATCGGGACCACTCCACTTTCTCTAATAACATGGCAGGAGACCTTCACGGGCTGGGTACTAACATGGGCTGGGACCACTCCCACTTCTATCCGTGTACAGTGGGGGACACGCACCTTCTTACCGAATCTTTTGCCCCAGAAGATCAGAGTCATCTTCATTCCTGTCCTGAACGAACGGTTCAGGCGGAATCATCTACAGAGGAGATATCAGTGGAAAGTCCTCCTCTGCATGCTGGTATCCCTTTGGATAAGAACCAGGCCAACAGGATTCATCTTCCCATCTGTAAAATGGAGGACAGACTTCACTTTCCTTCAGATCTGGCCTGCGTCATGAAGAACCACTCGGCAGCTGCCAAATCTAATCCTGGCATGTCCAGACAAAACGTCCCACCTCAGCCTTCCACAGGCACCAGCAACATTACATGGGGGGAAGCAGTTCTTCCTACAGGAAGTCTCCAAGTTCTACCCATAAGACCAGGGGACCAGCCGGCCGTGGGACAGACTCCTCCCACAAAACCTTCAGGAGATTTCAGCCAGGTAAAACATTAACTGGGCTCCGTGCTCCATTCTCTGCCCTCTCTTTTGTTTTTGTACATAGTAATTCAGGAAAAAATTCTGCCCTCAAACGTGACCTGGCATCTACTCCTATCCTTCCCCACCTCGGTTTACTTGATTTTTACTTGGCTTCTCTTTCCTATTTTAATTCATTGCTTTCCTTCTGCCCACGTTCCTTAAGGCGAGTATAGGTGCTCAAGCTTTTTCCATGGTCTTTTAGTTGTTCCTGGGAAAAAATGGAACATTTGAGACTTTGGTTGCTGATTCCTCCTGGGAAAGCAAGATGTTAGCAAGATGCTCTGACGGAGATGTTTTAGGAATGGTCAGATAGAACATTTTGGTTTCCATTGGATGAAGTTTAGGGTGGTCATAACAACCTGTAGTACTAAATTAAGTATAGCAGTAGGGGGTGCTGTTCTGTCACACATTAGTTAACTATAGTAAAATTGTTCATAAGCAGCTATCGTTGTGTTCAACAGGGACCTACTTTGAACCAAATCATTCCATTGCTATTTGGTCCCATTTTCATTAATGACACGGCAGTAGTAAACTAATGCATACCATATGGTTAGCGAAGGATACATGAACATTGCTTAAGATCAGGTTTTTAAATTCTCCTGCCTACAGGGCTAGAAGGTACTATATATGGGCAACCTGTACCAGTGGAATACTTGAACAAGCCTACATTTCTATAAGGTCACCCCAAATTTGAAGTATTAATTCTTAGAAATTGCTTGACTACTTCCTTCCTTTCATCCCGTTGAAATGGATGAAATGTGAATAAAAAGTTGATTGATGTCTTGGCTGTGAATAAATCACCTGCCCTCAAAAGTTGTACTTTTTTCCGCTCCTGCAAAAGCTCTGTTGAGTTGCTAGTTAAAAAAAAGCTAGTTTTGGTTTGTAAGTAATCATCTCGGCAACCCTTTTGGGATTATAACTAATCTTTGTGCTTTCTTCTATCAGGTACAAGGAGAGGCAACTCCAGACAAATTGCTGGAGCCTAGAACAGCCGAGCCGGCTCTCGTCTCAGGCGTTGAGGCCAGTGCTACAATTCAGTGCACTTTGGCCACCCCAGTGTCTCTGTTTCACCAGGGACATTTGGAGAAACCCCGAGAAAATATCAGGGCTCCACCTTTACAGATGAGGTCCGAGTCTGTCCCAGCTCAATCGCCCTATGCTTTTATGCCTCCAGCACCACCTGTGAGGACAATGGAAAGTAAACTGGCAGCCGCCATGCATTCCAACAGCAATGATACGATAAACCCTGCCAATTTCCAAGCTTTTATGGCTTCCCCCTCATTGCCCCTGTCAGCAGAAGATGTGTTGGCACCACCAAACCTGTCTAAGCAGGCATCCCTTCCGTCTGCCTACTTCCCTCCCTCCAAGTCAGAAAGCATGCCAGAGCCTTCAGCGCATCCGAAACCCTCCTCAGCTCATCAATACAGGGCTGAAAATAGCCAGCCCCACCTTTTCCACAGCAAGTCTGAGCAGCATCCAGGCTATCCTTCTCTGTCGGGGGCTCCCCTAAGCTCCCGATATAACGCCCATGCCAGTCAAGGAAAGAGCTCGTACGTCCATTACGCCAAGCCTCGCAGCCGGGTTGAATATCTGTCTTCCCTAAGCCCAACAATGAGGAGCAGCAGCTGTGCGGAGGAAGCTCCACCCTACCCCACCATCCGAAGGGTGCATTCCCTACACGTGTCCACCCCCTCCGCCATCCGATCCGTTCCTATCTCCCGCACCGAGGTGCCTCCCGACGACGATCCCCTTTATTGCCCAAGACCCCTCTTCCAGTACAAGTCATATCAGCCCCATGGCGATTATCACGTCACTCAGTTGCAACCGTATTTTGAGAACGGCCGCGTTCATTACCGATACAGCCCTTACTCCAGTTCCTCCAGCGTTTCTTGTTATACCGCCGGCGAAGGTGGATATTACGACTTGGACCCTTACGGTACAGTGAGGCTGAGACAGTTCCATCCTCTCCCAGGCAGAGATTTTGCATCCTACTCCAAGTTACCAACCAAGAACCTCTATCGCTGTCCTGGTTTACCACCCTACTCCCGGGGAGGTCCCCCTGGGCACCTAGCAGGCAAAGAACATAGTTTCATCAGCAGGGATGTGCCACCTGCCCCTGATGCCAAACCCATGTATGTCTCCTGGGACTTGGAAGATATGGAGAAATACTGCATGCAGTCCATCCGCCGAGAGAGTCGTGCTCGTCAGAAAGTCAAGGGGCCGGTCATGTCCCAGTATGACAACGTAGCCCCTTTGCTGCAAGACGAGGTGCGGGCTACAGACATTGTTCACTTGCGCAGCAAATCTGATCCTGGGAAAACTGGACTCCTGACTGTGGCTGATGGGAAAGAAGGGAGATACCTAGGCAAGGGAGGGGCACCCGAGGGAGAGGAACACTACTACGGGCCCCAGCCAGAACCTGACATTGACCGAGCCCATTACCGCGGGGGTTTTGGCAACGGACAGTCAGAGAAACCTCTGCTCCCTCAGAAACAAAGCAGCCTCAGGAGCAGAAAACCACACGAGGTCGGTTGTAATTCCATGGAGCACAGAATGCACCTTGCACATGAGGCAATCCACAGGCAGCCGCTGGAGGCTAAAAATGCCCCTTCCTATCCCGATTACCGACCAAAGGGCCACCCATCGGAACCCACAGAATCCCTGACATATCAGCACTCGGGTGGGAAATACGTCCCAGCTAACCATGACGTATTGAGACTGAACCACAAAGAGGTAAAGCTGGCAGAGGATAGGCTGGATGGAGAGCGGGCTCGATCAAGACTCCCGGCTGCTCTGGCTGAAAAGCACTCCAGAGACTGCTATAAAGAGAGTGAGCACTATGGACACCCTCCGGGACCACCACCTAAGCCGGAACGGAGCCATAGTCTCCGGTTCCAGCACTCTGAGAGCACACCACGGGATGCCGGTCTCCTGTACCCATACCAAACCCTTGGCAAACGCCAAAGTACAACTGTGGTATCCCAGTATGATAATTTGGATGATTACCATACTATGCCTCAGCACCAAAGAGGGGGAGTTGCACCTTCTTTTACTCATCCACATGGTAGGACTTACGCCACAGCTTTGGGCCAAGGAGCGTTCCTACCATCAGAGCTTTGCCTTCAGAGGCCAGAGACGGAAGTCCATGCAGAGTGAGCTCGGGGGCCGAAGGGATAGAGTGTAAGCAGCCTCTGCTGGACAGTGGACTGGTTTATTTTTTCAATGATGCACAAACATGCACACGAACACACAAAGCAACTCCTTCCATTTTAGCCCTCTTGAGTTTCTGCCCTGTCTAGTCCCTGCCGCTTATAGGGACTGTTTTCTCTTTCTTTTGTTTAACACTAAATGTATAGTTTTATTCCATTGTTTAAATGTAGCTTGCGGCAACCATACAGGCTTTTGTTAAACTTGAAGACGCAACTGATCTCCAGGAAGAGCAGAATCAAGAAGGAAGAGACGAGTTGCACTGTGAATGAGTTTCAGTTTCCGTAGATTTCAAACCATGGCATTTCCCTTCACAGTCACTGTCCTTCTAAGCCACACGCATGTTGTATGTATTGGTAGACATTTCTTCTCCAGACAAAAGTCCCTTGTATGTGATCATTTAGAGGAAGTTTTATGGAATGCCACGCTTTAGTAAATATTTTAACTTGGTCCTTTCAGGTTTTATGCTTCAAACTCTAGGAAAAAATAATAATAATAATGATTTCGCATCGTGTGTAATTCTCCCTTTAATTGTACCACCTCCTCTTATATCTTTTTTGTCTAAATTTTGCTTTTCATAATTGGTCAAAGTGCAAGCCAGTCACAAATTGGGCGACTGGTATCTATAAAAAGGTGGTGGGGTCTAAGGCATGTAACCTGGTCCTTTTCCCCACGAAGAAATCTGTAATAACCTGTTTCGTATATTTGAGAATTTAGGAGTATGAGAGTAAGGAACCATTAATATATTATAAACAGAGCTTTGCTTTTCCAGGTGGTGCCTGTATTATCTCATAAAGGGAATCATCTTCCTGAACATCTTATCCATAGCAAAAGCTTTCAGAAGCTTTTGAACAACAGAATATCCAGGGATTTTCTCCTGAGTGAGAGCCATTGAAAAACACCATGCTGTGTTCCTTCCCCCAGTCATGGATATAGGAGAATTGTGATGTATTTTGTTGTTTCAACAATGGAAATCTGTTTCAACTTCATATTAAGTAGCCTTGTGCCTAGCCTAACCAACAGTGGTCTAGGAAACAATTCTATGTTCTTTCTGATAGCTCAGTTGGTGTTGCTTATCAACTGATCATGATAAGGTCATCATTATAAAATGGTGAAGGTACTACAGATCTAGGAAAATTCCAGTTGGTTTGATGGAAGGGGCAGTGTAATATGTCACAGCACACATGCACCTGTTGTGTAGTGTTTATAGGATAGAGATGGGTGCTTAGTACTTGAACTCTAAACTCCCACCAGTCCCAGCTGGCATGATACTGGTAGCAGATGATGGAAGGAAGTCCCTTGCTCCCCCATACTGTTAGAGAGACCTGTGTGCAGTACATGCCCTATGGGTACACAGCTGACTCCCACTTCTTAAATTTTTATTTTGCCTATTGAAAGGGGATACTGTATTGAATTGTTTTTCTGGAGAAGTTATAAATACACACGGCTCTTAATCTCAGTGTCCTTGCCAGAGCTGAGGTGCGCAGAGGGGCCTTGGGTTTTCATACTGCCTTAGGCTACAAAATGCTCCGCTACAAAAGTTTTCTGAAGTGGCCAGAGTCTATCCCAGGAATAAAGTGCTTTCTGCTTTGAGATCACCACAACAATGTAAAGTTAGAATAAGGCCCGTGGGAAGCATCTGTGTCATTTATCTGTATCTGGGCCCTTGTTACAGCATAGTTGATGGGCATGAACCCAGAATACTACCTACGTCAGGTTTGCCTTGAGGTATCTCATAAGGGTATCAGAAGCTTCTCAAAACCAGCATAATATCAGTTATTCAGATTGTCCCCTAGCTACAGTCAGATTACATTCTCTTGATTTTTCTGATGCATATTTCTTTTGAAGTTCCGATTGTCTTAAGTAGAGATTTAGGGGTCAGAAAATTCACTATGATTTAAGCTTACATCTGTTTTACTCCCCCTTTTTTTTAAAAAAAAAAACACACACCCCTATTTGTTTTTGTTTATGCTGCATAAGTGATAAACAGAGGAAGGGACATTCCAATGCACTTAATGTCTGGAGCAAGCAGGTTTGTTTGTTTGTTTGTTTTTTGGTTTTTTGTTTGCCAAGGTCTTTCCTTGCCCCTTCTAGCAAGCCCAGTTGTAACCCACGAGTAGCACAAGGCCGTTGTGGCTTCCAGCCATTGAGTTACATTGTTCAGTTTTCCTCTAGGATTAGGGCAGGGTTATACCATTGTTTTTAGGATAATTAAGGTTCGGGTAGCAAGACCTAGCGTTCAAACCTGTATCTTCATTTTCCTTGTATTCTCCCCTTACATCAGCCTTACACTACCTGCTGCTCAGAACCAGCCTGATTTCTTTTAACGTCTGTAGCTTTTGTTTCTGTCACTTTTGTACTGATGAATATATGATCCCTCATCTCTTTTTAGGGGAGGAAGAGCCCACTCTACTTAATTTTTAAATACCGCTTTCAATTATGGCCATAAATATCTGAGCTGCATCCTCGGGGCCCCTTGCCTGTCCACCCCTTAAAGCATTTAACCAAAACTAATTTCAACATGGAATGGCGCGTTCACTCACTGAATATTGTCAACTGTTGCGTGGAGCCTCTGCGCGGTTGGGAAAGTGCCATACCAGGTTTCAGCTTGAAAACCCAAGAGTTTAATGGCATCAATTCAGCAAAGTTTCCTGATCTTGAAAGAGCTGCGACAATCGCTCTGTTCCTTCTGTATTTCTATCACTATTTTTTTAAAGCCCTCTTTCCTTCCCACCCCCATGAAAGCCATAGAATTAACTATGCAGGCCTGGTCACGTACCCTGGTTGATTTTGAAATACTGAACTTTAAAGGAGAAGAATCTCCCTCTTCTTTAACAAACCTAATCTAGACTCCACTCCCACACTGTAGGAAGAGTAAGTGTTGTTCATCTTTTTCTGTAAACACTGGGGTTGAGGTGGTTAAAAATACATGCTCATCGAGCAGCCATCAAACCTTAGCTCTGATTAGCTGTGGCAACTGGTCGGCCCCAAGCAGGAGTCTGATGAGGATGGGAACCACTGCTCAGTGGTTGTTCCCTTAAATTTCTTTTCTTTTATGGATGACACTTCAGAGTCTTACTGTAGAATGTGCTCCCATCTAAATCAAGGTTTGTATGTGTGCTTAAGAGGAAAACCTTTCCTCCCTTGATAGCATTAGAGGGGCCTTTGTAGGTCCTGCATCCTTGTTCCTAACTTTAAAACAAGTTTTAATCAGGGCTAAAAGTTTATGCAGACGATAGTGAAAAACATTGTGCCTAGGTCTTTGCAGATGTAATCTGGGGAGGGTGGGCTTGCCGCTTGGAGGGAGGGTCACAAGTATTGCACAGTTCTGACCAAAACCACCACAGGCAACAAAATTTGCTGGAAGCGATGTTCCCCTTCAGCCCAAGAGAGATGGGTCCCCCCCTTGTATGCGTTCTCCCAGTTTCAATTTGATAGGTTGATGGTAAGAAAGCATCACTAGCCTGACAATGCAGCGTTTGGGAATGGTATTGTAGACTTTAGAGGATTCTGAATTTAATTTTTAAAGGTGGCTTCGGCATGACATTTTCTCCAGATTTTTCTGCTGTGGAAACTGAGGCAACGGGCATGGTACACTTTTAACGTGTGCTCAGTAACTTCAGCGTTTCCAGTCAGTTTAATATTGTACAGCTCCGTTTCAAAACGAACAAGAAATGATTATTGTGTGGTTTTATTTTCCTGCTGTGGAAACTTGATTCGTCTTTTTGAGCCACCTGAGAGACTCCTCTCGGAAAGATGGGGGAGCTCTCCGAGTGTTCTCTTTTTAATTTATATAGTGTCTTATTTTTTATTATTTTTATTTTTTACTCTTGTGCGTAAGAACTGGTATAAAATGTATATGCCGACGAGCTCATGTTCTTTTATGTAAATATTTTTTGTGCATCCCACTTCCTCCCTTCCTTTGTAAATATTTAGATTCTCATTTCTCCGCGCTGTACGGGGACGGATGTGTTCATTTACTATTCTTATTTTTAATTTGTACTGTAATGCTATGACCAGACTTCAGGTGTCTTGTGCTATTAAAAACAAAACAGAACAACCTAACAGTCCCACAAACCTCAGATGTACCACTCAGCAATTAATGAAGCCAGGTTAAAGTCTTATGTTGTGGTGGTCTCCGTTATTTTCCCTGTATTTTCATTTACAGAGTTTGTAAAGTCGTAGTTTGGACCATTAAAATTGCCCACGACAGATAGCACCACTATGATTTTCCAAACACAATGGTTTATCTTTATCCTGAACACATAAGCGAATCCTATCAACACCAACATTCACATTTGCATCTATACTTTCCATGCAACATATGAAATTGGAGCTAAAAACCACTGGTTTTCATTTTACTACGTTCATCATACAGCTTGGCCTTTCTTTGTTAAATGATTGGTATTCTATTGAAATAACATCACCATCATCCCACAGATCTTTTCTACTTCATTGAAGAGTGTTCAAAGTAACCTTTTCTCCCCTACATGTTAACTGACCTGAAGCCCTTTTTAAAAAGGCGAGTGAGGTTCAAGGATCCAACAGTCCAAATTACAGTTGAGTAAATATTGCGTAAACACAATAGGAACCACAAGCTTTTTTTGCAAAACAAAATCATTCTTGGTTCTGGGGGTTTTTTCTGCATAATTTTACCATTTTAATTGCTTTTCTATTTATCTTTTTGTGTTCTGGTACAGAGTTCCCCAACGTTTCAAGCTTTGTGGACGGTGGGGGAGGGGGGAATGTTTCCCACTGAGTGGCCTGCAAACGTGTACACATATGCAGCTCCATTTGTGCAAGGGGTGTGCATGTATGCCTGCTGCAAATGGAGCGCACGTGCTCACCTGCTGCTTACACAAATGAGGATGCGCACGCTCGCCTGTCATTTCCACAGTCTGGTTGCAATCAGCCACGGCCCACAAGTTGGGGACCCCTGTTCTAAACTATCCAAAGTCACCTTATCGGAGGGCTGGGCAGCATCTAAATTTAATAAATAAAAGCAGCTGTCAACAATTAACGAAGTACAATACTGAATCTTTTTTTAAATTTCTAGACAACACAATTTTTCCTTTGTCTTTATTTCACTACCTTACAATCACTTTTTAAAAATGGAAGCTATGGAAACGCACATCAAGGGATACACAAAGATGCTGTTCAATTCCACAACACTCCCCCAAAACGGAACTAAAAAAAAAATAAAAAATGCCCAGCTTTCAACTCTATTGAAGCTTCCTACAGTTTTGGTGTCTTAATGCTACCTGAGGATTCACTGCTCACCATACATGGGAGAAAGTTGCTGCTCTTGGGAAATTTATCAGATTCCTCTCATGGGGGGAGGAAATATTACCCCGAATAAGAAGAATCGGTTTGCCCAAATCCACTAATTTTATTGTTTGAACTTTTTGGCGTATCCAATTTAACAAGACTTCGTTTAAAAAAAGAGAAAAAATAGAGGGAGGTTTTCAGTTCCAGAGAATTAGATAATTGCATTAGGTAGTTGCAGATAGGGACATGAGTCATAACTTATGTGCTACTTAACTGCATCTGTGTTCAGGGCCATGACCTAGCAATGTGGTTGTTGTGGTAATTAGTTATGTACTTCACACCCCAGCCATCACCCCCCCAAGCAGGAACTCTTGACTGCTATTTACGTGAAGGAAATCAAATCACTCTTTGTTTGCAACCTGCTTTTATTTCAAGCATATTTTACCCCCCTCTTCAGCCAAAATGCTCCCCAAACAGCATAAGAATAGCCAGCGAAAGAATAAATTGTTGGCCACAGGCTTCCCGTGCGGAAGTTTAACAGGGAAGGGGAGAAGAAAGCATTGGTATTATATTAGTTTTTAAAGAATGGCCTGTATTTGAACACATTTCTTGCCCTTACCAAATAAGCTTGTTCATATTATCTTTATACAAAGCCATTACTCCCTGCAGAGGAGGGGGAAAAAAAGCAACAGTCTGCTGGATAAGGCCACAAAATAAAACAACTCAGGTTATAAGGCCAGTTTGATCTGGTGTTAAGGCAGTAGGCAAGAAGCTGGGAAACCACGGATTCTAGTCTTGCCTTAGCCATGAAAGCTCGCTAGGGGACTTTGCCCTGGGTCAATGGCCAGGAGACGGGGAGTTCTAATCTCGCCTTGGGCATGAAAGCTGTCTGGGTGACTTTGGGCCAATCACCAGGAGACTTGAGTTCTAGTCCTGCCTTAACCATGACAGCCAGTTGGGTGTCTTTAGGCTGGTCAACTCACCTCACAGGGTGGCTATGGGAAAAATAGGAAGAAGGTGCGTTGGATATATTTGCTGCCTTGAGCTATTTGTAAAAGTAGTAAAGGCGGGATATAAATAAATAAATTTGTAATGATTTGAGCAGTCCCCAAATTCTGCTGGGGTCTCTACACTGCTGCCAATTCCTATTGCACATTAGCAAGCCTAGATGGGTTACCACTTAAAAGTGAATTTGATTAAGAAGGAATTTGGAAGAGAATGTACAACTGTAGTGACTTAATCCCTACTTAGAATAATAGACTTTGCACAGCACAGGCTCTGTTGGAATAAAAAGCAGCCAATACTCATTCCCACTGGGGGGCAGTAATTCCCTTTTGCAATTCTTTATGTGATACTCCGGGCTCCTGAAATTCAGTGGGACTCATTAAAACTTGGGCATATGCAGGTCATGGTTTGGGATTTTATTTGTGTTTTAATGAATACAAGTGGGTTATATGCAGAAAAGTATGGTTGAAAATGTTTGATAGAGTGTTCTGTCAAATCTGATGGCTTTCTGAATGTCCTGTCTAAAACCAAAGAATAGCATGAAACTCTTCCTTTATTCTCTCTCTCTCTCTCTCTCTCTCTCTTCTTTCTCACTCTTTCTCTCTCCTCTCTCACTCTTTCTTCTCACTTCTCTCTTCCCTCTTACTCACTCTCTCATTCTTTCTCTTCTTTCTATTTCTCTCACTCACTTTCTCTTCTTTCTTATTTCTCACTCTTTCTCTCTTCTCTCTCACACTCTTTCTTCTCACTCTTCTCTGTCTCTGTCTCTGTCTCTCTCTCCCCCCCCCCGTCTCCATCTCTGTCTCTCTCTCTCTCTCCTGTTTACTTACAGTACCACCCTTGCAACATCATTTTCTCTATTGGAAGGGCTTACCATCTCAGAATATTTACTTTAGCCCTGTACTGGTGGACCTCAACCTATTCATTAATTAATTCTGGTTCCAACTGGTTGTAAGTCAAGGACTCTTCTGAGCCACAATCCCTCTTTATTCTCCTTTTGTTTGACCACCCATCTAATTGACCAACCAATTTCTACTTGAGTATACCAGTGAAAACACCAAAAGCTTTTGCTATTCCTAAAGGGTACAAAAGGTGGGACCCTTAATGTTGGGTGGCTGCCCAAGCCATCCTCAACTCATTCTTGGCTCCCAACTCCCAAAAAAAAGGATTGTGAGTATCCTTCCATTCCTCCTCCTATATGGAGGGGCTTGGGACAACAAAACTGGTTGCAAATATTTATTCCAATGGTTTTTAACAGCCTAGCTTTTGAAAACTGATGACCTCTCTGTGTTCCCTTTCAGTTTTACAGTCTAGGGCAGTGATGGCAAACCTTTTAGAGACCGAGTGCCCCAAAAACTGCCCCTGCCCCTGCTCTACCCCCCGCTCTACCCCTCGCCCCACCCCCATCCCCCACCCCACCTGCCTGCAGGGCCACTCACCGCCTCCAGGGCCCGCCACAGATCGCCCAGGCAGCCCAACAGCGCTATGGCAGTCACGCCTTCTGCCCACGCCCCGCAGCATCAACTGTGCACAATGGGGTGTGAGGGCAGAGTCTTGTCTACACTGCCTGGCTGCCATGTCCTTGGCTGCGCTGCTCCGAGTGGGCCACGCTCGGGGCGACTCTCCTTCAGGGGGGCTGCTGGGGAGGAGGAGTCACAAGGGGAGATGAGGCTGGGGCAATGGCACGTGTGCCCACAGAGAGGGCTCCAAGTGCCACCTCTGGCACCTGTGCCATAGGATTGCCACCACTAGTCTAGGGAAATTTGACATTAAGAATTCTCCCAAATTTAAATTGGGAGGATATTAATTGGGGGAAAGGAAGGCTCGCCTTGTGGAGTTATCATTTGTCTTTAGCTAGACAACCTTTTTAATGCCGCGACCCCCAACCGGTCGTACGTTGAGGACTACTCAACTGGTGCAGCACCGTTTGCAGAATGGGACTTTTGGTGGGCTCAGCAGGGCAGAGACAGCCTGGACAATTCCTATTGGCTTTTGAAAGCCAATAGAATTAGTCTCTATTCAAAAGAGTCTATTCTATTGGCTTTCAAAAGCCAATAGAATAAAAGGGAGTAGCACAGCTAAGGAAAAGGGGTGGTGGTGAAATGGCGGACTGCGTTGTTTGGCGACCCCCGTGAAATGGTCGTTCGACCCCAAATGGGGTCCTGACCCACAAGTTGAGAACCACTGAGCTAGACACTAGCTTGAATCATCCCCGGTCCTTGGTGATCTATAGAATGTTGTCACTTTGCGGGTGTTACAACAAAAGGAGCTGTCAGAAAGCAGGATTGTTGTGGCTATTAATAAGCCTCTCAACTGAGGTGACGTTAAGAGGCTGAAGCTGTTGAGTGCGGCTAAACAGCTGATACAACATTTGCTTTGTGGTGTCAGACATAGTTTCTTTATCACATGAAATATGGGTGTTTTTTTTTTCTTTACTTGGATCATAAAGAGCCAAGCTGAAGTTCAAAATAAATGCTAGAATGGGAAGGCAACTTGGGGTGGGGGGTGGGGACTCCTGATACCTAGATTTCCCCTCCTGCCACACACACCCTCCAAACAAAGGCAGTGACTAGGGGGCACATATCCAAAATATCTAGAAAGCACCAAGTGGTGCCCTTTGCACAAGAAGATTTGAATTTGGAACGCCGGTATTTTAAAAACCTTTCTCCGTGTACTTGGCATGCAACAAAGCAGAAGCTTCATTAGTATTCTTAGGAAATACAAATGATAGATGGAATCGGCTCGGAATTTTTATGGAAGTGTGCTCACCTCATCCGTAAGTGACAAAGACAGATTTGACTGGGGAATGACCGCTCTGCCAAGCCATTTTGCGCACCCAGAGGCCTCCT